TCCTATTGCAAATTTTTTTTTTTTTTTTTTTTTTGGCATTTAAGAGTTATGATTAGGGATGGCAACTGAGTTTATCAGCTCGAAAAAAGCTCGAGCCTGCTCGGCTCAAGGTCGGCCCGAGCAAAGCTCGATCTTGCTCGTGTGGCTCGCCGACTCAAACTCACAAGCATATATTTAAAAAAAGAAAAAAATACAAAAAAAATTAAAGGCAGCAAAGGCTGCCTTCTTTATTATTAAAATAATAATAATAATACCAAAATCGAGCATGTCCTGTTGCCCTCGGAAAAGTCCAAGTCGAAAGTTCGGGTCGAGCCTAATTTTTTTGGCCGAGCAAAAGCTCGAGCCCAGAGAAAAGCTTGATCATTTTACTCGAGTAGAGTTCGAACCTTGAATTTCGGCTCACGAGCCTACTCGACTCGATTCGTTGACATCCCTAGTTATGACCTTTGTTTTAAAGGGCTCGTCTAGCCATATCTAGACATGGTCACATGGGGTACTACGCCTAACTATGATCAACGAACACTCTTACTAGTATTATGTGTCAGAAACACTTCTTGGATATTCCTATTTCACGACATAAACTACATGTACTTTTCTATGTTTTTTAAACATCGTGAGTAGGGCTGGGCAAATCTCCCGAACCGAACCGACCGATCCGAACCCGAACCGAACCGATCCGAACCTGACGGTTCTTGTCAAATTAAATACCCGAACGGGTATCTGAATTGAGAACCGACGGGTACGGTTCGGTTCTCGGTTCTAGACCAAGAACCGAAGAACCGAATAAGAACCGAATCTTTTTAATTTTTTTTTATATTGAGTAAATCAAATTATTTTAATTTTAATTTTTTCTAAACAAATTAACAAATTAATCATTTCTAAATCCAAATTTTTGGCCCAATAATTTGTTTCATTTCTAATTTTTTAATTTTTGGCCCAATTACCCATTTTATTGTTTCATTTTTTAGCCAAACAAGATCAAATCCACTAAATAACCCTAAACACCTACAATAAAGTGCATAACGTTGTCTCGACTCTCGCACTCACTCTCGCAGCCTATCTAATATTCCAAAACCTATACAATCGTCGGCCGACACTCTGACCTCCGATCGAAGCCGTGACTTTCCCGGACTGAAGCTTTGATCGTAGCGATCATTTGAATAAGGTAGTTTACTAATCTCTGACATTCCAAAACTATTGAATGTATCATTAGTCGTATTTATATAACGTTGTTATAAATGTTAAAAAATTTAATTATAATACAGAACCGAACGGAACTGAACCGATCCGAACCGAACCGAATGGAACCGAACCCGAACGGTTCCATAATTATATTTGGACCCGACGGTTCCATTTACTAGATACCCGAAAAGTTTGGTTCGGTTCGGTTCTAAAGAGAACCGAACCGAACCGACCCGCGCCCACCCCTAATCGTGAGCTTACCTTTCTGTTCGGCAAAGTGGTATTTTCTTGATTTGAAATCTAGAAAAGCTAATGCCCAATTGTTAAAACCTACTAAACAATAATTTGAGTTAATTGATCCAATGGTCATTGAACTTAGGTCTATATCTTTGATTGGTCACTAAAATTTAAAATGTCGAATTTTGACAATCGAACTTTGAAAAATGTTGTACATTACTTACTGTAAACTTTACTTTTTTAAAAATTCAACATTTATGCTAGTGAGTAACGTACAACGTTTTTCAAAATTTAGTGGTCAAAACTCGACATTTTAAATTTCAGTAAGCAATCGAAGACATTAACCTAAATTCAGTAACTAAAACTCGACATTTTAAATTTCAGTGACCAATCAAAAACATTAACATAAGTTTAGCAACCATTGAAAAAATTAATTTTAATAATTTAAACTTTAAAATAAAATAAACCCAACCAAAAAAAAAAAAAAAAACTGCTCTAGGCCAGACCTAGCAACGAGCATAATTTTCTTTGCTTCATAAATAAAACAAAACATTATTGATTTGGGTTATTTTTGAGAATTATGTTTTTTTATTGAAAACTAGAAAACATGCATAAAGTTTCTATAATTAAAATAATATTAAAAATAAATATAAAAAAAAGATTTTATTTTCTTTAGACTCGTAAGGCTTGAAATCTTTACCCCTACGTCTTGCGCCTTTCAAAATCTTGATTATGACTTATTTTGTTCAAAGTATTTCAAAGACGAAGGATGAAACGACTTTTTTTTATATATATATTTTGCAAACAATAAAATGTGTAATTTAAATTGATAAATAATTATAGGTGAAGGTTGGAAATCTTAATATTTGATGTACTATTCCACACTAAATAGTTTTCATTTCCATGCATCGACTTGAGTGTCAAGATGCATACAATCGCAACTTTCTTTGTCTTTGTTTGGAGAAGTCCCAATCTATGCCTCTATCATCTAAGTGTAACTTACATGAGGAGAGAAGAGACGGAATTTGTTGACACGCTCAATCTATATCATATTCAAAGGTCAATAGATTGATGTTGTCTATGGACACCATAGCCAAGACCCATTCCTATATCTATGCCTCAGTGGAGCATAACCCCCGACATGTCTGCGTGACAGCAAATTCTTTGTTTCATGTTCATTCAAAATATAGTGACCTTGACTATCATTTTGTTTGAGAAAATGTAGCTATTTCTCTTGTTACAAGACATTTCTCAACATGCTCTCAACTCGATGATATTTATACAAAGTCATTGCCAAAGTATTATTTCACAAAGTTTCGAGACAAGTTGGGCAGGCTTTCTTACTCCTCCTCTAGCTTGACGGTGCACATTAAGGGATACACAATCCCGATGATTTTGAGGATACTATTGATACAAATTAAGCAAGAAAAAAATTATGTGATCATAGATAGATTGAAATTAATTTTAGTGATATGAAATGAATTTCCACTCACTAAAATTAATTTCCAATGACATGCAACGAATTAATTTCAATTTTGGTTCATCTATATAAGTTCAACTGAGTCAGTATAGTTTTCAGATAAAAATTAAGAGCAAGATAAGGATTTTGATATGAAGTAAGAGAACACGGCAAATCAATAACAAATGCCACACACAGGGGCGGATGTAGCTTATGGCCAACTAGGGCGGCCGCCCTAGCTGGCTTCGCCGAAACCGCCAGCCGGCAGCCGGAAAAACAGTTCAGAAATCAGACGGTAAAACAGTTTTTTTTTTTTTTTTGCCTGTTGCCTGTTGGACTTGGGCTTCAAATTTTATTTTTTTTTAAATCAAGCCCATTAAAGATGCCCAAATAACCGGCCTGCTCCACTCCAGCAATATACCCACAATTTACATCCCAAACCTGAAGCAAAGACGGGCGAAGACAGAGTGACCACTGACCAAATTGAAGATTCAAGGTTTCCATATTTTTCCCCAAATTGCTACCAGCCTACCACCCACCAAAGGCACCAATCCATTACCAAATTGCCACTGCCGACTCCCCGACGGTTTACATCCGCCCAGCCCCAGCAGCCAGCAGACGAGTGCGCAGCGCCAGTCGCCAGCCAGGTCCGCCAGCAGACACCACCGTCGAGTCCAGACCGACACCGTCCGGCGTCCAGACAGTCCAGTGAGGCAGTGAAGCAGGCAGGCAGGCAGCTCGCACAGGCACAGCGAATCAGCGATACAGCCTACAGGTCGCCTCGCACTCTTCTTCTTCAAAAAATGCAATATTCTTTTAAACTTTTAGTTATTTGATGAATTGATTATTGATGTTCGGTGATTCTGATTCGTGATATTGTCATATGACTCGTATTAATCTAATTTTCCAAAAATCTTGGATTTCATTTTGGCTGCACTCTCCAGTCCAGGCTCCAGCATTAAAAATTTTCACATTTTTATATATTTTGCAAATTGCAATACTTGTGGGAATTTATTAAGTGATTAACTGATTATGTGAACTTCGAAGTGAATCTGTGAATGAGTTGAATTTGCAATACATTTTTATATATTTTGCAATACTGATTATGTGAACTTCGAAGTGATCTGTGAATGAGTTGAAAATGCTATTGTACTGCACTCTACGGTATCCATTGGACAATTTGGACCAGATGTTAATTTATTTTCTGCTTTAATGCTATTGTACTGGATCCTATTGTATTGTCTATCGAGCTAATGAAAATGAAAATTGTTGAATTGTTGATCATCAGTGGAGGGGATTCTTTTTGTTGAATTGTTGATTTTTTAATCAATTGTAATTGAAAATTAAATTGGGGCATTTTGCAGATTATGGAACGATTTTTTCAACCGAAACGAAAGTCTATACCTAGTTCTCCTAGTTCTAGTTGTGCTTCTAGTCCTGCCACTGCTTCTAGCCGAGCACTCGAGTTATTAAATAGCACAAAAAAGTCTCGGGCTCAATTCAATGTAGATGATCTTATATCTGATCCAGGAAAACGTCCCCCTATCGAGTCATATGATCCTAATATCAGAGATGATGTTAGGATGTCATATTTGCAAAAAGGTCCTTGTCAGCCACATGGACATGACTTTCCAAGAAGACGGATAGGAAATGATAATAGGTGTTTTCGAAGAGAATGGTTTTCTGAATTTTATTGGTTGGAGTACAGTATAGAAAATGATGCGACTTATTGTTTGCATTGCTACTTATTCAAACCAGATAGAGGGAGTCAAGGGGGTGGACATATATTCACTAAGACTGGCTTTAGGGATTGGAAGCACAAAAGTACATTGAAAGATCATGTCGGGCTCATTGATAGTGCTCATAATCAAGCTTTTGCAAAGTGTACCAATTTGATGAATCACAAGCAAAGTATCTCCCATGTTATTTCTAGTCAAAGTAGTAGTCAACAAAAAAATTATAGGACAAGGTTAACTGCGGTGCTAGACTGTACTAGATTTCTCTTGATGCAAGGATTGTCATCTCGTGGTCATGATGAATCGAAAGAGTCTCTTAATAAAGGAAATTTGATTGAGCTACTAAATTGGTATGCAACTCGTCGTAAGAAAATTAATGAAGTACTATTTAGTAATGCTCCTGGAAATGACCAAATGACTTCACCAAGCATCCATAAGGATTTGGTTAATTGTTGTGCTGTTGAGAGGACAAGGTCTATGATCAATGAGATGCGCGGTTCCTTGTTTTCAATTTTGGTTGATGAGTCTCGTGATAATTCTGTAAAAGAACAAATGGCAATTGTTTTGAGATTTGTTGACAAAAGTGGACAAGTGAAGGAGCGTTTATTGGGTATTTGCCACATCGCTGATACTTGTGCCCAATCACTCAAGGATGCCATTGATGCAATGTTTTCTACACATAGGTTGAGCATATCTAGTCTGAGAGGTCAAGGTTATGATGGAGCAAGTAATATGTCAGGTGAGTTCAATGGTTTAAAAGCTTTAATTTTAAGAGAGAACCCATGTGCTATGTATATTCATCGCTTTGCTCACCAGCTTCAGTTGGCAGTTGTTTCTGTGGCACATAGGAATGTTATGCTTAGTGATTTATTTAACATGCTTGCTATTATTGTGAATTTGGTTGGTGCGTCATGTAAACGTGTAGATGCTCTTCGAACAAGTTATCATGTTGAAATTCTGGAGAGGCTTAATATTGAAGAACTTTCTGGTGGAACTGGTCAGTTTCAAGAAATGAGTTTGGCACGTCCAGGTGATACTAGATGGGGCTCACATCTAAAGACAGTTACTCGCTTTATTAGTATGTTTAATGCGTTCATAGATGTTCTTGAGAATATATCAGAAGACGGCATAAGTTTACAACAAAAATCAATGGCCATCAGACAGATGGACATTATGCAAGATTTTCAATTTGTGTTCAGTCTCCATTTTATGTTTGAAATTCTTGCAATTACAGATGACCTTTCACAAGCCTTACAGAAAAAGGATCAGAATATTCAGAATGCTATGAGATTATTGAAGTTGTGTAAGTACGCATTGCAGAACATGAGAGACAATGGTTGGGATACTTTGTTGAGTAAAGTAATTCAGTTTTGTGTTGATAGACATATTTCAGTGCCCAATATGGATGATATTGTAGTATCGAAAGGTCGACCTAGGCGTGCAAGTCAGCAGGTGATTTATTATCATTTTTTTTATGTTGATTTGTTTTGTTATGTGATAGATTCAATCTTGCAAGAGTTGAATGATCATTTTCCAGAAACAACTACTGAACTTTTTACTTGCATTTCGTGTTTAAGTCCAAGAGATTCATTTGCAGCTTTTGATGTATGTAAATTGGTTCGACTTGCTCAGTTATATCCTATGGATTTCAATAGTGAAGAGCTTTTATTACTTAGACCTCAACTTGACAAGTTTCTTATGCTCGTGAGAATGGATGAAGCTTTCTTCAACCTCAAAAGCATATCTTGTGTAGCTCAGAAGTTGGTTGAAACTGGAAGTTCTTGTTATTTTCCATTGGTTTATAGGCTGATCACATTAGTTTTGATATTACCAGTGGCAACTGCAAGTGTTGAAAGGGTATTCTCTGCTATGAATCTAATCAAGAATGATCTACGCAACAAAATGGGAGATGAAATGTTGAATGACAATTTGGTAGTTTACATGGAGAGAGATCTTTTTATGAAACTTGAGAATGAGACAATATTGCAACGTTTTCAAAATATGCGACCTCGTAGAATTCAGTTGTCTAAGCTTGCAATTTCAGAATAAGGTTGTATTGTATTTTTTTTAGCATTTTGGCTTGTATTAAACTATATTTTCATATGTATATATTTTCTAGATTTTAGTGCATTTACATATATATTGAATAATTTATAATATCATTTAATCTAATTTTAATAAACGATCGGCCACCGACCGGACCGGGCTTTTACGATCGTCGATGGTCAATGGTCAAAGTCAACCTCCGCCCTAGCTGAATGTTGATGCTAGATTCGCCACTTCACTACAACAAAAGCATCTTTTTACGGCATTCATTTACTACGTATAAATAAGGCATGCTATAAAAAATTGATTATTTAAGGCATGCATTAAATGTGTATCATAACAATTCAATTACTTAAAAGTATTATGGTATGCATGCTGGACACGCCGTAAAATCTTAATATTTGCGACGTTATTCTCTAGCATGCCGTGTAAATAGATAAAGAAAATATTTGTCATTTTTAATTATTATTATTTTTTAAATCAACTATTTACGGCGTGCGTTAATTTATACCGTAAAAGATGTACGGCATAAATGTTGCACGCCGCTATGATATCCTACTTTCCTTAAGGGAAAGAAACTTGCCTGCACTATTCATTTAGGAGGCGTTTGTTTGTTTCCTATTGTACCCTTAAATATCCATTAGACTAATTCTAAATGGCAGGTCCAATGGTCTTTTCCAATAGCTTCCATATTATATATTATATATGCAAAATACCTTCCAAAACGTGATGACATCAATAGCAACTCTAGCTTTCTCACTCCATATGGTAGAAAAGAGGCAAAAGAAAATCCCTCCCAAATCCAATCGGCGACTACAATACCGTTTCTTTGTCTTCGCGCTCTTCTTTCTTCCGTCCTTCTTCTATCTCTAAATATCTATCGGACAAGTGAAAAAAATTATATTTTGCTCTATTTGTATTTTTATTTTTCTACGGGGAGAAAGAAATGCAAGGAGTTTAGAAGTTTGGAAATTCAGAAACTTGGGAGTTTTGGAGTTGTTATGGTTGGGGTCTTTCAGGTATGTTAAATTTTGAGTATTATTTATGGATTTTTTGTAACTATCAGTGAACTGAAGTGGAAATCTTTCGCACTAAGGTTTCAATTGCCTGTATTTGGGTGGTATTTCTTGCTGATCATTGTGATTTTTCTTTATTTTGTGTGATTAAGTAGTTAAATTTATTTTGATTTCTCTTTTTTTATAACTTCTTCTGAATATGAAGAGTTTTGGATTAAAGCAAAATTTTAAAATTAAGCATTCTCATTGAGAAATCTTAAAGAATAGTCAGCTACAAGAGTTTAATTTTCGTTTTGATTATTGTTTTGGAAGTTTAGGTAGATGATGGGGATAATTTTGTCATTACATTCTAGGTTGTTTTGGATGGGTAACAGTTATTAGATTTTATGTCAAACAAAAAGGGCAACAAAAAAATTAATAAAGGTCTAAATACATTGCAAGGGAAAATGGCACAAAAAACAAGCGAAGTAAGTCATAAATTGAAAATAATGTGACGTTTTTACAAGTTCTTTGATAATATGCAATGGCACTCAAAGATTTGTATGTAAACAATATTTTAGAGGAAGATAAAATATTCCTTTATTTATAGTTAGAAGCAGAAAATTATGGCAGCACATTAAATATAGAACATCCATAACAAAAAATGGTAGGAAATGTGATAGTTTAATTGCAGATTCCAAAAAAATAAATAAATAAATAAAATAAAATAAAATAATTGAGGGGTAGTGGTTGTGCCCAGTACTCTGAGTGAGTTTTTTAAGAGTAGTTTTTCTTCTTCTGATTCAACAGCCTGTCCAAAGCAATTGTTTTCAATTTTTGAACTAAATAATTTAAAATTGGTTCAATTAACTGAAGTAAAAGGTACTTTGAAACACAAGGCTGAGCACAGAAGTATTCACCTCAAATCCAGCTGTGTCATATTGAAGCCTTTTATCTGGATTAGACAAAATATTATAAGAGAATGTGACCTCCTTGAATATATTTGCACCTTTAGGATCATTTGCATTGTTGTCCGGATGGAACCTACACATTGTAAAATAAGCATAAATAACAACCAACAAATTTGTCTGCCTCATAAAATAGAGTTGTTGATACATAAGGGCATAAACACACACACGCAGAGAGAGAGAGAGAGAGAGAGAGAGAGAGTAACCATTCACAAAATACCATCCAGAAGCATCTACTAATAGGGTTTATGCTATAGATTATTTTTTCTGTTATTGGCAATAGATCTCTTGCAATATACTGTAGAGTCTTATAAAATAGGATATAAAGGTAAAACTGAGAGCTTTAACAGTGAAACGGACCAATAGAAGACAGAGGACAAAGTAAAGAGAACAGAAGCAAGGGGAACAAATAGACCACCAACTTGGCAACTTCTGGAATGAGATTCTTTCTATCATGCATTTCTTTCTCTCTCTCTCTCTCTTTTTTTTCCTATTTACATTATTCATTGTATATTTTTTGTGCAAATATTTGTATAATTTTGTTATTTATCTGTTTATTGGGTTGATGAGTAAAATTTATATTAGGAGCATGTTTGCTAATTCGCTAAGCTTAGAAAAAATAATAAAAATACTTTTATTCTATAGACTTATAAAGAAGTTCCCATACGCCCGACCATATCCTTTGTGAATGCAAACAAATTCTTTACATGCAAATCTTTTCAAGACTAAAACATTATGCTTTTCACTTTTTGATTTCTTAAACCTGATTTCGTATTGTTGTTAAAAAACAGTGAAGCGGATTTTACTATTCTCATTAGTAAAAGAAAAATTGTCTCCAATTCGTTGTACATATTTTTACTTCAATTTGACGTTCGTTCGTTAACGATGTGCAATGTCTGACTGCTATCCATATTTATTTCTCCTCTTCGCTTCGCTTCGGTCAAAAGGTAAGAATTTTCTTTTCCTTCTATAAGTTTAGCTTCCTTTGATAATGTTTAATTAGATTATACATAGAAATTACTCGTTTAGTACTCTTACCTAATGTTTTGCAGTATTTTGAAGTTCCATTTACTTTATTTGTGGCTGAGAACAATGTTAAGCTTAGATTTCTTATTCTTTTATGTTCTTTTGTTGACATTTCTTACAAATCCATAAATAATGTTAAATGGATTTATGCTTTGGTGAACCATATAATTGACTTATGGAACCAATGCCAGCTCTTTACCACCATTACAATCGACGAATCTGCTCATAGAATAAAGGCCATATTGAACTTCAAAGTTCCTTTCCAAAGGTTTGGAAATGTGAGAGGTTTTGTGTTTAATATTTATAGCATCATAAATCTTAGTGCTTTCTATGTGTAGTGTACCTCTAATTATTTTCCCATAATGACCACAGTTGTTGGAAGTGCAATAATTGCATGAGTATGTAGGGATAAGCTCAACCATTGGGTTGACAGCTAACCCATTGTCAATAAACTGCATCATTAATTAAATACTAGAAAGAGCAAATAACATAATGACAACCTTCAAATTCCTTATTGCTTTAGTTTGGATGTTTATAGTTTGTATGTTTTACGAAGTGCAATTTATGTTATGTTAGTTATCATGTTTTTATATATTGTGAATAGGTTAAAGTCTTAAACAATTCTATGTAGGCAGATTTATTTTACTTGAAGTCTAGTTTTCACATATGTATGATATATATGTGCTAATAGCTTTTTTTCAATTCTTTTAGTTCCTGTTGGTTACCTTGGGCTCCAACTATTCAGTAAGTTATCTAATTGTTCTCATGGATGTTTCGGAAACATGTTCTAATGGAGTGATTGGTTCTCTGAATTTCGAAACAATGTCCCATCGCCAACAACAAAACCAAAGACAAAAGGATAGGCGAAATCGATTTAGAATTGGGTGCAATGATCATCGCAAGAGGATAAATGATCCCATGTCATCTGAAATTAATAATTCCAACATTGAAAGAATACAGCAATCTATAATGCATCATGATTTTGAGGCTTCTACTTCAAACCAAGAGACGCATGATATTTCCAATTCTGCATTACGAAGTAGTTTTAATGTACTGAACATACCAATGACTTCATATATATTACCAACATGCAGTAGCTGTAAGAATTGTGGTGCAAGAAAATTTTATAGAGAAAGCAAAGGCTTCGTTGCTCTGATGGAAAAGTTCATCTCTGTATTCCTGATTCACCAACTAAACTGTACAACTTGTTTACTTCCAAAGAACCTAAATGTATGGAATTTAAAAAGATTGCAAGGGGATATAATAATAATTTTGCTTTCACTTCATTTGGTGTTAAATACGACAAAGAGCTCTTCAAATCAAATAGAGGTATTTATACATTTAGGGTTCAAGGACAAGTATATCATTACGTAAATGAACTTATCCCACGGAACAGTACACCTTCTTATATGCAATTATACTTTTATGATACAGATAATGAACTTCAAAATCGTATGAAAAATTCAAAAAACTTTGTTCAATGTATTTTGATTGTTCTAATTGAAATCCATAAGGTAAATTCATACAGTAGATCCTTTAGGTCTTTAAGTCATACAACTAATTTGCAAGAGCATCAGATACACATAAGATGTGATCCAAGACTTGATTAAAGGGTCTTCAATACTCCTACAACATCTCAAGTAGCTGCTGTATGGGTCGAAGATGATGAGAATGGTAATGTTTGTGTTCGTGACATTACTATATATGGTCATTCTGGTGATTTACATAGGGTTTATTATTACTATGATTGTTATGATCCTTTGTAGTATTCGTTATTTTTTTCATACGGAGAATCTGGCTGGCATGAAGGCATTGAGAGGCGTAGAAAGACCTATTTTCAGCCTGAACGTTTGCCTGAATTAGTTACTTTTCCAACTGCAGTTGCCTCTGGAGCTGAATTTATAGAAAAATATTTTCCAGCTAATGACATGCTGGCATTGGCCGCATGGCAATTCACTTAACAGTGATATCTTGAGCTCCTCGTGTTTTTTGTGCATTGATGTTGGTCGATAAAGAGAAGCAAGAAGGCAACGATCAATTATCAAACAAATGGTAGTAATGATCTACAAATGCTCGTCCTACTGTTTCAACATGTTCTTTCATTTTTATCTGAGATCTCTCCAGCCAAAGCAACACTATCTAAAGGCAAAGCTAGCGGGAGTTAAACCGAAGCCTCTGGCTTTTTGGCCGTCCAGAAGGCGCTTGTTGATGTTGCTTTATTTCCAATGAAAGGAACTATGTAAACGTATTCACATGCATGCAATTGCTGAATTCACATGGCTGATTTTAAGTCTGTTATTTTCAATTCCAGCTATGATTTGCACACAGCTCTTTATTGTAACATTTCCTCCAATGCAAATTTGGCAGCTCGACTAGAATCTACGATAACTGGGGCAGAAGTTCTGATTAATATGAACTGAAAAGACAAAATATTGTATATCCCCTTTAAGCTATGCATACTCAGAGAGAAGTGTGCATTATTCATTCATGTTTGGGTCCCAATTATGTAGTGAGTCTCACATATTTCCACATGTCAATTGCAGGAAGTACGTTGGGTGAAAGGAGCTAGAGAAGAGGCGGAAGGACCAACAGTTACAGCTGAAACCCCTTATAAAACCGAGCTCTAGTACTGGTGCTCCTGGTAGTGGAGTTAAATCTTATAACACTCCAACTTTGAATGAATTGTAGCACCAAAATCAGTCGAAAGCACGTAAATCCTTCCCCAAAATGAATTTGAAAGGTTTGAAATTCAGGGTGCTAGAAATGGAAGATTTATAGCCTCCCAAATTTTTAACTAGATTCAAATTTAGCAAAATCAATCAAATTAATAGCTCAAAAAGCTCTTTCAAACTCAATTCAAACTAATAGAGGAAATATGAACATTGTTTTACATTTACTGATAATACCAAGAAATTAAGACCAAGATTTGCATAATACTGAGTCTAAAAGACATGTCTCCAAATTTAAAAAGAAAAAACTATAGAAGATAGCACTTCAATCAAAACTGAGGCACCATCCCAATTTGTTATCCACATGCATTGTTATGATCATTCTATGACCCTCTCTTTATTCTTGATCGGAAGCTTCACAATTGTATTCTTATGCATGAATGTACCCTTTTGTTGAAATTATGCATCCACAATTTCTTCAGTCTCAATAGAAGCAAGAATCAACTCTGATTGAGTGCTTTTCAATTCAGTATAAGAATCATCTAGTGCATTTGGCTGTCCCAATGCCCTCAAGGCCAAATGGGCTGCCTTTTGCCCTGAAATCATCATTGCCCCAAAAGTTGGACCCTGAAATCATGTTGAAATTTAGTAATTATTCAAAATCATCCCTTTTTTTTCCTTAAAAAAAATATATGACGAATATTTAGAGTAAATTAAAAAGAACTTACCATTCTTGGAGCCCCATCGATCTCTGCAACTTCCATGCCGGTGACAATCATACCAGGCACGACCTCTCTAGTGTGCCTAACAATGGCATCCTCGGCAGTATTCATGTCGAGGGCCTTCATCCCGGGCACGCTGTCAATCATTCCGATGCTCTTCAGCCTTTTAACACCGGTGGCGCCAAAAGGTCCGTCGTGGCCGCAAGAACTAACCACCACTTTAGCCTCCATCACATTAGGATCCATGCAAGATTGTGTGTCATGGTTCATCGAAACCAAAGCCCAGTTGGTGACAACCCCACCGACTCTCCCACCCTTCACTATCAAATCCTCGGCTGCCACGGCATTGAACAGCTTCACATTAGGCCTGACCAAGAGTTTGCTCATGATAGTCGAGGTGAACAAGGCCGCATGTTTGATGACAACATAGTCATCTTGTTCATCGTACTCAATCTCGAGCTCGTCCAAGAATTTGTGTGCCGGTTTACGCACAACCATGGCAGAGAACAGCTGCCCTCCCAGCCATGCGCCCCCTCCAGGGCTGACGGATTGTTCGATAATGGCAACTTGGATGTTAGGATTTTTACTGAGCTCATAGGCGCAGGAGAGCCCGGCAGAGCCGGCGCCCACAACGACAACATCTGTATCAGCGTGGGTGATCATATCCATCATATATCGTCTGGTCATTTCTCGTGAAACAATGGATTCTTTAATAGGTTGGAATTTGAAGTTGTCAAGGTTGTAAGGGGTTGACGCGGACATGGTGATTGAAAAGTTTTGTTGACTCGATTTAATGGATTGAACCCGGTTGGACAAAGGCGAGCCATGGAACGATGACTTGTTATCGAAAAATGATGATTTGGAGAGTGAAGAGGTAAGGGTTGTGGCCATTGTTGCCATTGAAATGAACTAGAAATTTGCAGGGTTGTTATAGACTAAGAAAAGGGATGAACTAGAGAGTGTTGAGTTGGGATGGTTTGTTGATGAGATTAGTATATATGCAGAAAAATGGTAAGAGGATTGAAAATATCTATGAGAAAATATCTCTAGTGAGAGGAAGATAAAATTTGAACGATTCTGAATGGTTCTTGTTATTTTGTTGGGATTATTGATATTTTTTGGAATATCTCAATATTTTCATGTTGCAAACCAATTGTGTTGTGTGTACATTTTCTTTTTGGGACTTTGTGGCAGCAATTCACAATGTACATAAAATGAAATTGAAAATATAACAACTTTAGAAGATCGAGCGTTAAAGAGTAAAAAGAAGATTTCGACATCTCATGACCATATCGTTGTGTGTTTTGAGTACTTTTGTTATTATATGATATTAAAAAAATTTCACTTCATTTCTCAAGATTCGAAAGGGGGGATTGAATATTTTTTGGGTTTTTTTTTTTTTTTTGGTTGATTTAAATGCCTTACAAGTCTACGTCAGAAAAAAGAAAAGAAATAAAAAATATATCACCAGTTCATTGATTGTCGGACACTCGCTTATATTGTGACAAAACGAAAGGCTATAGCTTTTTGCAAACTTTATTCCAAAATCAACCGAATTTTTCATTTTTTGTTTAAGAACAGGAGTTTTAGCTAAATACAATTTATCTTGACGGCTGTGGGATTTGAACCCACGCCCTTTCGGACCAGAGCCTAAATCTGGCGCCTTAGACCACTCGGCCAAACCGTCAACTTGTCAACGCGGTATTATTATTCATAACATACTTCACCAATTACTGATGACATAATGTTTAGAGTGGTAAGTCACTTCAGATATATTCTCCAATTAGTCACAATTTATCATGTGACATGTACCTGTAGGGCGGCCATGTGAAGGCACAACAAACACACGAAAGGTAAATTACAGGACATGACTACTCTGTCACTATTGAAATTGACGTGTATATATTTTACAGATCTGTTATGTGTACAAAAAATGACTTTCAAAATTGATGCAAATAATACTTAACAGCAATCCGTCGATTAATGAATAAAAAAAGGGACAAATTGCACTAAATGTTGTTGTAAAATTGATATAGATGACACTTGACAGCAATCCGTCGATTAATGGATAAAAAAGACAAATTGCACCAGATGCTATCACAACAGCATCTGGTGTAGTTCTGGCAGCAATTCCTTTGTACAAGAGGATTCCAATCACGTTTTTGGTTAAGTGTTAAGAGTCCAACGTTTCTTTGTTTAGGCAAGCCACGGCCAAGGCATTCGTATGTTCGTGCAAGCTTAAGTGATCAAAGCATTAAAGTTCATTCTATGACACCAAGGCACATGATCAGGGGCGGATTCAAGGACGGGCAAGCCAGTGCTACAGCTGTCCGTCCGGCCCAAATCCCCTTTTAAAAAAAAAAAATAGTAAACATTTTTTTTATGTGTAATTTTTTTATTATTTATTTTTTATTATTATTATTTTTTGTATTAACCCTGGAAGTTAGATCCGCCATTACCCACTATTGGATCCCTTTTTATAATAGACGTAACATCCAGGTGAACTTTAATAAATTTTGGATGTAACAGATGACTCATAAGATTTTCTAGACATGAATCACGTAAGCAAAGGGGATTCCTATATGAATTATTCGTATTTCATAAAACCAAGAATGGTCAAGAAAAAATGCCAGAACTTGCGAAATTGCACTATAATATGTCATTTCCGTAGTCTATAAATTTTTACAAGCTCTACATCCTAAGCAACCTTAAAAAAATGTAAAACATGTAATAATCCCAAAGCTGATTGTCACTGGAGCCTGGAGGAAAAATGAAAAAGCAGCAGCAAACAGAAGTGAGTCATTCCAGCTTCTATAATCAGTGGAACTACAAGTATGAACTTTTATAGTAGAAGAGGATAAACAAGAATCATTGGATGAAAGGATACATGGCCTCATCCTAACAATTGGGGCCTCTTGTCGTATGCATTAATCACTCAGACCTAGGTTCAAGTGTATTTAATGTTATGACCATTGGCAATCCTATGCTTGATACTAGACTTGTTGATTGAATTGAGCTGCATATTTAGTGAGTTGTTATATCATCCACTTGTTACAAAATTTTGTATGAAGATCTTTCTTATAATGTCTTTACCTATCTCGCCTCATCCATGAAGGCTCAAATCCATATGGGGTTCGGCCAATCGGAGTTCGACCATATTGTCACATCTGCAGAGTGACGTAGAGTGCGGAATCAGGTTCTGTTACTATGCGGCTGCCACCTGACCATGCTTAGAGGCTCATTGGAAGAGGCATAATACATTTGTATCGTATATTTTATTGGTCCCACAAATTTTCAACCGCATATTTTACCAACTTCTATTAAAATCAATCAAAATTCTAATTTTAATTCCCACCAAATAAGAACTAAATATGTGAGATTTATTTTTTAAATAGGATTAAGACATAACTAAATAATACACATGTCATTTTAATAATGATAGAGGGTACTGAATTACATATTTTGAAAGCACAATAAATTTTTTTCTGTGACCTTCGTAATTTCTTTCAATCTAATTGGTTGGTCATTCTCATTACCAGACACCAGTAGGCAGCAGCTCTCCTTCCAAGTAGAATTTCACTGCTTTTGGCAAAAACACTTCTTTAAACTTCCTTTTATTACACAAATTACTATTATAAACGTCTTTACACCCTTTGTTTAAGCCATGCCATTCTTTTAACGGAATCTTTTTAAACAAAAGCGACCAATAATGACCATTGGCAATCCTATGCTTGATACTAGACTTGTTGATTGAATTGAGCTGCATATTTAGTGAGTTGTTATATCATCCACTTGTTACAAAATTTTGTACGAAGATCTTTCTTATAATGTCTTTACCTATCTCGCCTCATCCATGAAGGCTCAAATCCATATGGGGTTCGGCCAATCGGAGTTCGACCATATTGTCACATCTGCAGAGTGACGTAGAGTGCGGAATCAGGTTCTGTTACTATGCGGCTGCCACCTGACCATGCTTAGAGGCTCATTGGAAGAGGCATAATACATTTGTATCGTATATTTTATTGGTCCCACAAATTTTCAACCGCATATTTTACCAACTTCTATTAAAATCAATCAAAATTCTAATTTTAATTCCCACCAAATAAGAACTAAATATGTGAGATTTATTTTTTAAATAGGATTAAGACATAACTAAATAATACACATGTCATTTTAATAATGATAGAGGGTACTGAATTACATATTTTGAAAGCACAATAAATTTTTTTCTGTGACCTTCGTAATTTCTTTCAATCTAATTGGTTGGTCATTCTCATTACCAGACACCAGTAGGCAGCAGCTCTCCTTCCAAGTAGAATTTCACTGCTTTTGGCAAAAACACTTCTTTAAACTTCCTTTTATTACACAAATTACTATTATAAACGTCTTTACACCCTTTGTTTAAGCCATGCCATTCTTTTAACGGAATCTTTTTAAACAAAAGCGACCAATAAATTTTATTAATTAAGCTTTTCAATTCAAATCCAGTTGTGATATCCAAAAATTATCAATTAATTCATGAACATGTTGTCCCCGCCTCTAGTTCTGTCACTGGACAATAAATTTGTCGGCAGCATGGAATTTCTTTTCATGCTCATCTGGCAATTCTTTTCTGTATATTGCCATTCTCCGTGTATTATAATAATTTTAATTCCTCCAATGCCCCTTTTAATTTTGGGAAAATTGCACCAACTGTAGTGATCCTTTGAGGGTGGAAAGGAGAATTTCAATTTCTGAGATAGCTTTGACTGCTTGGAAGGTATCATGAGAAGACCAAAATGTACATAAATCTGCCAAAAATTGATAGAAAATTTTGATTTTCCAGCTGTATCCTCAAACAGTAAAATGACCGTGAAAGAACACATCATTTATTGCTGGCATTTTTTAAAGATCCAACCTAGAAATTCTTCTTCGGGAAAATGGAGAAACTATTTCATTCATTAGCCGCTTCTCTGTTCATTGCATTCATTTCTTTATTCCAATTAGTAGCAGCAGGCAAAGGTTCATTTGATGATAATTTTAGCAAAAGCTGTCCAGAGACTCATTTCAAGACTTCGGAAGATGGGCAGATCTGGTACCTATCCTTGGATAAACAAGCAGGTATTTGTATTAAAATTTAAATGTTCTTTACAATTTCATTATTTCACGGCATTGGTTTACTTGGAAGAATTCTTGCGTGTTCATAGGTTGCGGGTTTGCCACAAAGCAGAGGTACAGATTCGGGTGGTTTAGCATGAAGCTTAAACTAGTCGGAGGTGACTCAGCCGGAGTGGTTACTGCTTATTATGTAAGTCATATTATCCATGCTGAAGATCTCACTCTTGAAACCGAAAGGTGATCAAAGAACTTATAATAAATCGAGAAGTCAAAATTTTTGGCTTAGAGATGTGAACTCAATCGAGTCATTACAATCATTATTCGTTTATCCAGATGTGTTCTGAAGATGGGGCGGGGCCGGAGAGAGACGAACTGGACATTGAGTTCTTGGGAAATCGAACAGGGCAGCCCTACCTTATACAAACCAACGTTTACAAGAATGGAACTGGCAACCGTGAAATGAGGCACATGCTATGGTTCGACCCAACCGAAGAATTCCACATATATTCTATTCTTTGGAACGACCATCAAATAGTGTAATTCCTTTTACACTCACTCTATTATCTTACGTCCTTATCAGATCTGTCAATCACGTCACTGATTCTTTGAAATGACTTTTCAAATCAGATTCTTTGTCGATAGAGTTCCGGTAAGAGTATACAAGAATGCAAATTACACGAACAATTTCTTCCCAAACGAGAAGCCAATGTACTTATTTTCGAGCATATGGAATGCGGACGATTGGGCTACGAGAGGCGGGCTAGATAAGACAGACTGGAAAAAAGCACCTTTCGTATCGTCTTACAAGGATTTCAATGTTGATGGGTGTCAATGGGAAGAACCCTACCCTGCTTGTGTATCCACCACCACAAAAATTTGGTGGGATCAGTATAATGCTTGGCATCTATCAGATGATCAGAAGAAGGATTTTGCTTGGGTTGAGAGGAACCTTGTTATATATGATTATTGTAAGGACACCCAAAGATTCCCAAAATTGCCGGAAGAGTGTTGGTTAAGTCCGTGGGACTAATTTTGGATAACACTTCATTAAATATTTTTGAGTGAGGTTTTATATATAATAAATTCTAAATGGATTGTTTATGCTGCATTAGTTTGGTGCGTGCAAGAAACTTCTCTACTTCTATTTGTAACATTTTATACAATTAAAATTTGGAAAATTGCAGCAGTGGTTCGGGTTCCTGACATTTATGATATGTGCAAATGATTCTCCAACCTTCAAATCCTAGTAACACCATCCTTGGTAAATTAGAAGGATAGAATAAAGGTATTGTCGACCAAAAAAATTATAGAGAGAATCGAATGTTTCTCACATATCTACACATTTTATATATCATAGATTATTGGATGTAAATATATACTTGACTAAAAGGAAATAACAAATCAAATGACATATTCTTTTTTGTCATTATTAACGTAGATAGTTTACCATTAATCAGTCCTTCAATTCCACCCTTCACCCTTCTTTTGGATTTTCTTCTCTTTTGCCTCCCCTTCTCCTCTAAACAACCCGAACACCTCTATTCATGGAATCTTGTCAATGTTATTTCGTGACATTGATCGATGAAAGACCTACAAAACAACGAAGTTGTAAAATTATACATATCCTTTTCTTGCTTTTTTTCATGTTTTGAATTTCGTTTCTTGCTTCTTTTTTTATCCAAAAAACTTTCATCTCGTTTGGTTTGCATGAATGCATGCTTGCTGTAATATGTATATTCCAACAATATTTTAAGATAAATGGGGATGAATATACAGGGAACGGCTGGAGAAGATGCTTCTCTATTGACTCTCCATTCTCCCTGCATAATCCCTATCCTTCTTCGTAAAGGTATATCTTCATTATTTTGGATAGGCTCTCACACAAGTAGGTTGGATTCATTTGTTTGATTAAAGATTCATACGAGCACAACTTTCTTGAAATCAAGACATTTACCCGTTGTGATGTTAAACTACCTCATTTAAAACTTAAAAGCCTGGAAAAGGTTAAAGAATTAACAATTCTCATTCTACATGTTTGCTTTTGACATAGGCAAAGGAACCTTTTTTCAACATTTGGGTGGTACTTCCTTCTGTATTTTGCCTTGTATTTTAGAAGAGGGCAGTTGAATTGGACACGTACAGTCTCCACAATGGGAAGATTTTCCAGGGATTCTTATATAGGCTGTCTCAAATCTTTGGTAAAGCCTCTAAATCACTATTTCTAAGATCATACCGCCGTATATTTTAATGGGTTTTTGGAAGTTTTGGGGCTAATGTGAAAACTGGTTATGTTGAAGTTGAGAAAGAGCCTGAAATAGAGATTGGATTGCCAACAGATGTTAAGCATGTGGCTCACATCGGGTGGGATGGCCCCTCCAGAACTGGACCTGGTTGGGTACGTACGTGACAAATTTATTCATCTAGATCATGATTTTTTGTATTCTTCAAAAATAATTTATTTGTTTCATAATGCAGATGAATGAATTCAAGACGGCCTAATTTTTCAGCAATGTCGACGGCCTAATTTTTCAGCAATGTCGATTGGCAATTCTGGTTCTGCTCTTTCTCTGTGGTCATCTGAAGGTCTGGTTCTTAATTAACTTTTCCTTTTTTTCCATATTTTTTTATTTTTTCAGTTATTATTTCATATTATAAACTATCAACACAATGCATAGCCCACAAAAGAAAGAAATATTGAGAATACAAGGTATTGATACGTTACTATTGAAACATGTAGAAATGGAAATCTTAGTCTTGACTTTATTTCATTGTCCCTACAAGATTTTGGAGAATCTCTAAGGCAGAAATCGGGATCTGAGATTAATAGAGACTTACCACGGACTGAGGTTGCCGGTATTCGAAAGAAGCAGAAGCGGAAGAAGTCTAATTAATCTTCATCTCCTAAGTCATCTTCTTCGTCCTCATCCTCACAGTACCAAGTCAAAATCCAAATTTGTTGAAGGCCATGCCAAACCAACAAACTTTGAAGTGGCATAACATAATAGACTACTCCCCTGTGCTTAATTTCTTCAGAGTCCTCTTTCAGTCTTGGAATGACCGTGAAACTGAAGAGAGAAGGGATGTTGTACATGTTAGAAACGACACACAAGTTGGTAACAGAAATGATGAGGATCAAAGGAGTGATAAGGATATAAGAAAATCTTGGAGTGAAAGGATGGTCAAATTCAAACTAAAGGGTAAATGCAAAGTTGTTAATTTGTTATATGATAGTTATCTATTTTTAGATAAACACTAGCTACAATAATAATAGAGAGTTGTTGAACTTATTTTATTATAAACAGGAATAGATGGGTGCTAGGTGTTCATGGCCTATAGTCATCGGTCAATAATATTATAATCAAGTATTTTATTAATTTTTAAAATTCTTTCCATATTTTCTTCTTGGTATCAGAGCCATTGTGAGCACTTGGCAGACCACAAATTTTCTCTTACAATATCACTTTACTATCCGTAAATGTTGACAACTTCTTTATACTTATCTCTCATTAATTCTCGTCCATCAAATACGTCCCACTAAATCTAAACAAAACAACAAAAAATGAAAATTTCATACAAAAATTGACAAATAAGTTCAAGAACAAAGTGATCATTTCACCAATGAAGACCTTGTCCCGACAAAATACATCACATTAAATCTAAACAATACCCAAAAAAAAAAAATAATAAATAAATAAACGTTTCACACCAAATTTAACAAATGAATTTATTGCCTGGTGAAAGTCTGATCTTCTCATTCATGGTTGGATCATCACAACAGTTTGAAGAAACCTTCGGACTCGTTATAGTCTTATATACAATCCATGCAGTATGCAAACCACTTTAAAAGCTTATATACACAGGTGACATATTTTCCCAAGAATGAAGATGTAAATCATTGTTGGCTTCTCCATCGTGTTGGAAATCTACTTAACATGCGCAACAGAAATTAAAATAATTTTCGATTCCCACCAGGATTCATCTTTGTATTTAAATAGAAATTGTGATAAAAGTCATACATTTTTCTAGATCTGCAAACCTTTTTGCTTTTTCTTTGTACCAATGATCTTGATTCACCACCCACATCTGTTCAATTGTCCAGCCTCCAATAGTGATCCACACAGATAACAAATTGCAGCTACCAGGATTTTCTCCTCTTGTGCTAGCAAGAAATTATGAGAAAAAATTTGGATTGAAAATCCTAGTCATGTATTTATATAAGCCCAAACGGACCTGGTCCGATCCGGTCCAATATTTAATTAATCCATTTAATTAAATCCGGTCCGTGAATTAATTAATTCAATTAATTAATTCGAGCCTATAAATGATCAACCCAATTAATTAATTTATCCAACGATTGTTAAATTAATTAATTGACAAATTATAATCTTCCAATTCTCTTTTATGTGCGACCCATCAGGTTCCCGATCACGATATCTAACGACGTGAAATATTATTTTGATCTAATCAAAATTGATAAATTAAAACACCTTTTTAATTTATCACCAATTCACACTCGCCGTCCCAGATTGATATCTAACAATGTATCAGTGCAATACATGTGACGAGGAATGTCATGTGGTATGACAAAACTAAACTCGTTCGTTTACCGTGAAACTATAATCCCTTCGTCAATATGATCCAATCAATTACGAGATATGGAAGTGTGTCAATCTTGATTATTGATCATATCTTTCACTCCACTATTAAGTCAATATAAGTTGAAAACACCTTTTCGACTTATGAGTATACCTTGGCCAAGGATTTCATTATCGACTTAATTGAATGAAACGCATATCATAATCTCTTACTATCTAAGAGTGACGAATTCTCTATTAGTCATTCACAACCTTCATATAATTCTTGATATACCTGAACGATGCCATATTAGCGGCCCTTGGCAAAGTAATATCGAACACCGTCAAAGCATGATTGTCCTCATATAAGATACTATGATGGCCTCAACTCAAAGGACCAATCCCATTACCGAACGTTAGAGATTAACCACTGACACTCAGATAGTTATTCATATGGAATCTCAAGATGGGTCTCCAATGTTTTGTTCTGTAACAAAACATCCACGTGTTCATTTAAGTGTCACAACACTTTAGCTTGTGAGATGAACCACTTACTTTACAAATAAGAAATGCCACACGTGATGGTCTATCCGTAATAACGATATCCGTATCTCGTTATTACTTACGACCACGGACCATTTAAGATTCAATCATATGTAATTTGTATCTCACAATCACAACTCCTTGTGATTAACAAATTACGAAGATTTGAATCTACGGACTCTATTATTTAATTTAATTGTCTATTAATTAAATAATAGATCTGCCATTAAATTGTATTAATTATATATCAAAAGATTTATGTCCAAGGTTGATTGGACCTAGGGTATAACACTTACAAACTCCCACTTGCACTAAATCCAATCACTTATGTATCCAATATCATAAGAGTCTGCAAGACGATCATATTTAAGCTACGACAACTCTTTGTCAGTGGATGTGCAATATTGTTAAATGTGGGAATTTGTTCTTCTCTTTACGTCATTTTTATGTATTATCTCTCTGATGAGATTATACCGCCTTAAATACATGTTTAAATCATTGATGAGACCTTAGTTCCTTCGCTTTCGCGATGGCTCTATTGTTATCACAATACAATGGCATGTGATCAACAATATCAGGTACTACTCCAAGTTCATTTATGAACATCATGATCCATATTGCAACTTTTTGCTACTTCTGAAGTAATCATGTATTAGGTTTCTACTATTTAATCAACGGTTGCTTCACGTTTGGAACCTTTCCAACATTCCACTTAAGAGTAAACTAGTTTTTCCATATGAAATTTTCTCAAGATTTCATCTATGTAAATTGGGATGAGTTAGACAATTTTCTAGATCTATCTCTATAGATCAAGTTGCTTCTTCCATATCGTTCATGAATAAATCCTTAACAGCCATTATTTCAACGATTGAAATATAAGGATGTCATTCTCTATAATATTAGGAATACGACAATGCTCCCACTATCTTCTTATAACACACAATTCGTCTTCAAATTTGATAAAATCAAACACTTTGACTTTTTCATCAAATTGAAGATTTCAACTCCAAGAGACTTCTCTTAACCTATAGTCACAGTATTCAATTATTGTAAGCAAAATTCGAATGGACTTCAGCAAGGCTACAGGAGAAAGGTTTCATCAAGGTCAACACTTAACCTTTGTTACTAGCCTTACTCTGTATATATGGATATTTTCATTCATATCGACCTTTTCCTTGTAAACTATTTACAACATATGGGTTTTATCCATCATGAGGGTTGACCAAGGTCCAAACCTTGTTCACATATGTCGAGTTCATCTCGAATTTCATGGCCTCTTGCTATCTCTTTTAAGTCAACACTTGACTTTATTTTTGTGTAATTAGTAGATTTATCATTCTGGATTAGTAATACCTGATTAGTAATTGTGGATTCGCACCTTCTTCAAGGTCAAATGATCCTATTAGATTTAAATGGAGCTGTCATGTCCTCAGGAGTCTCTACTTCCTGATCAAGAGTATGTCCCCATATCAGATATGGGATCAAACTCAGATTCATCTACTTAGCTAACTATATCTGTGGACTCTTGAACTCTTTCATGTTCTATTTTGCTCCCACTATCCTCCTCTAGAGTAAACTTTTTCTCTAAGAAGACAATATGTCGTGAGACGAAGACTTTCTTCACGATAATAGAATTTATATTCAAAATCTGCTTTGAATATTCCACAAATATGTATTTATCGGATTTAGACTCAAACATATCCGATTCAATGCGCTTCAAATAAGCTTTTACAGTCCCAAACTTTCATATAAGATAAATTGGGACTATTGCTTTTTCATAACTCGTACGGAATTCTGTTAACCAACTTAGATGAGACATGATTTAGTGTGTAGTGCAATCAGTGCATGACTCTAAAACCATTTTGGAAGATTTGCATGGCTTATTTTTAATTGGACTATATTTAATAGTTTACGATTCCTCCGTTCAGATTCACCACAATGTTGTAGTATATATGGAGGAATTCACTGCAAGATAATAGAGAATCTCATTCTCTCTTAGATAATCTAAATTTTATCTTTAAGATACTCTCACTTCGATCAGATCTTAATGTGAAGGTTTCCTTTCATATTTGTTTCTCTATTTCTAGTTTGAATCCTTTGAACCTTTCAAGTACTTCATGCTTGAATTTCATCAAGTATTCATGATAATTGATGACATAAGAGAAACCTCATCTGACATTAATTGACATAGATCCACATACACCACTATGTATTATGCAAATATTTATACAGACATTTCTCCCTTTCAAATAAAAGGAGATTTGGTCATTGTGCCTAATAGTCATGATATTAAAATAGTTCATGTCCAAACATGAAACTCATTTTAATGTTCCAGCTATGGTGGGTATAAGACGACATTTCTCTAATTCCAATACTAAATCA